TGTGCGAGACGTGAATGGTCGATTATCGATGTTACCCTATGTGAAGCAGTGGTAAAGAATCGATTATATATGTGTTCGGTGCACACATCCTGTTTATCGATCCTCTTCCATCTGTTTAAACAGCAGATCAATCGATGTATCGCAAAGCACGCCACGCCACTGGAGAATTTGTGCTCGGGTGAGAATTTTGTCTGTATGGACCAGTAGACTAAGTACAAATTAAAGTATTCTAGCACGCACATATCTGAACCAAAATTTCACTTAAAACACGATTCATGCAATGGAAATTACTGAAATCAACTCCTAACTAAGATGTATGCATAGGGCTACGGCGTTTACAAACTGGTTTGTAAGGCAACGAGTGATAGCAATTTCTAAAAACTCCTTCGACTTCGTAGCCATGGGCCGTAGCAATAGTGCCGAATTTTTCTGAAAAACCACCACACACTATTTTCTCTATCACAATTGAATCAGTTTCTGTTCGAGGGGTGTTCGTCCAAAAAATCATAAGCCCTGGCTTTCGTTGATCTCATAAGACGCTAGGGCTTATGAGGTTTTGGGCTTCCGCCCGTGTAACAGAAGTGGATTCGATTGGAGAATGGAATCCAACTGATTCAATGCTACGGAGCGAATTATTTTCTCTCCCGAGAAATTAGTTAGTGTTCCAGAGCAAAATATCTTCTCTTCCCAGCGGTGACTTTTCTTTCCGAAGAGAAAATATTTTTCTCTGTTACACTAAGTGATTTCTCTGGAGAGAAAAAAATTCGCTCCCAAGCAGTAACTTATCGTCCCAAGGAGTAAATATTTTTCTCTAGAACACTAAATAACTGCTCCGGAAAGAAAAAGTAATTCGCTTCCTAGCAATAACTTATCGTCCCGAAGAGAAAATAGTTTTCTCCAGGACAGCTAATAATTGCTCCGGAGAGAAAGTAATTCGCTCCCTAGCAATAACTTATCGTCCCGAAGAGAAAATATTTTTCTCTGGAACACTAAATAATTGCTCCGGAGATAAAATAATTAAAAACTCCTTCTATTTCGTAGCTATGCAATTTTATCTCCGCGGAGTTAAAATAGTTGCTCAATACTCATGTTTATACGTATTTTACATTGGTTCCTGAAAATTTTAGTCGCCCGCTCACAGGTAAACAATATAGTCTACTTAATCAAATCGCACCCTTCCACGGTGTTGTTAGTCCTCTAAATCGAGCATGTTCTTTTCCTGCTTGTGTTTCTGGAAGTTTTGACCACATTCAACAGCTGAGCCGAAGCACCAAAATTGAGGTTGCCATGTTTTCATTCCACAGGAGCTGCTACGATAACGTCTTACAATTTGGTTTTTTCATGAGCGGGAGGTTCTAATTTGCTTTTCAAGAAACATTAAATATCTTGGTTAGGAGTTAGTTTCGGTAATTTTTGTCACACAAATCGCGTTTTTTATGTGGTTATAAAATATGTATCATAAAGCTTCAACTCGTACCCTGTCTACTGGTCCATCACCAGACATTAGTTGTAGACTGAATTTAGACCAACACTCTGTCGGAAGGAATTTCTTCGTAGAAATGATAACGGATACAGCCCTTTGGTTCAACACCAGCTACACAATACATATTTAATCAGCAACTCAATGCGCTTGGTCTCGTTACGATCAATCGGATTACATTTTGCAATAAGGAACCACTATCTCTGGGTCATTTTAGAAACAACATAAATGCCATCGGTTTTCCTATGCAGATATATGCTTTTATGGGAGAGCCAGAGATAGTGGTGCCTTATTGCAAAATGTAATCCAATTCAGCCGATCAACTCTGACTCCCATTTACAGAAATGGACAAACAAAAGGAAAGAGCTCCATGGTGGAAACCCTTCAAAATAAAGACAAAAGAAGAAGAGAAAAAGAGCTCTCACTATCCGGGTCTGAAATTAACGCGATGAAATCTCTGCGGCACTGGGGCGCCCTCGGGAACGAGATGCGGGGGATAATGCTCCCGTCCGAAAGAAAAACGCCGTATGAGCCATCAGGCGTTGCCAAATTTCCGTGGGTTAGTCACGGATTCTCGGGAAAATTTGTAAATGTCTCTCTTCCAATTCATCATATAATTTTGTTCGCAATTTCACCTACATTTCTTGAAATTTTCAAGGAAAAATATTCGTAGCTTTCCCCAAAAATGTACATTTTATTAAAGGAAATTTGACAACTCCCGAATGTACTTACGGGGTTTTTCCTTAGGACGGGAGAATAGCGCGTCGCCGTCGCGTTGCGGTATACATGCTAACTCAACGCCGTAAACGTCTCATTGGTCGTTAAATTTAATTGACGAGACATAAATCTCGCCCTTTTTTTCAAATTGCCCCGCTATTTGTTCGCTATCTTATTTTGTGCAAGTCGGGCGTGTAATTAGCCCCGGCTCTAACACCGGAGATTCCGGAATCACACACTGAATTTGGTAGCTGAATACGGCAGTCCACAGTCATCGCTCAACGGCTGAAATTTCGCAAGTTCGAGCTATTTTCATCCAGATTTGTATACAATAAATTCGAATGGCTCAGACAAATCCGACATTATCCGATGTTTGCTGTGCCTCGTTACTCAATTCAGGCATCGAGCCGATGAATTCCACATTCAAGCCGCATTCAGCTCCCACATTTAGCGTGTGATTCTGGCTGAAGGTATCGAAGAGTTGCCATCATGCCGGGCATTTTGGCCCAATAAGTATCCATCATTTTTTGTTTGTATTCTGGGTGCCAGGAATTTTAGAGGAAAAAGAGTGGAAAAAGTAACAGGGTGACATGATCTTGGAAAGTCATTAAAAACCGGGAAAAGTCGTGGAATGTTGCTGCAGAATCTCAAAATTCTTTCCTCTAGCCGAAGAATAAAATTGCACCATTCTTATTGTTTTTAAACGCCCCTTCTACGTTTTCCACCTTTATTTTCTCAGAATTTGGATTTTTTTTCTATTTTAAGAGACTGCTCCAATGATACTTTTACAGAAAATTTTTTGGCATCGTACAATGCAAATTCTCTGGAAAATTGGACGGAAAATATCCATAAACTTCCCTGAAAATTCATGAAAGGAAATTTGACAACGTACGAAGGGTCATACGGCGTTATCCTTGAGCACGGCAGTAAAAGACCCAAACCTTTCAGACTGAGATTAAAAAGATAAACGTGTCTAAGATCCGCAGTCGTAGCACCAAGCTATTACGGCGTAATGTTCAACGTGATTTTAGACAAAACTGATGGCATGATCGTGTGCGCTCGACGCGGAATTTTACATGGTAACAGTTTGTTGAGACGCTAATTCTCTGCATTCGCTGGAACTCCATTAGCGCGGGAGCGAGAGAAACCACGATTTGAAGGACCACCGTAACGTGTAATCAACAAATAGTTGCGTAAGCTTATCGTTACTTCGGTCTGCGGGTGAACTTTCTGCACTTGATGATGCAACAGTTATTTACCCCCGCGGAAAATTTACCGGGGCAGAAACTTGCGGGAGGGAGGCTCATGGAGAGGAAAGGGCCTCCCGCACATTTCTGCTCCACACTAGTCGCTCTATTTAGTATGTAAACCCTCCCTCGCTTAGCGCGCTGATCCAAGTCCTGTATAAGTTGTTCCGGGAAGTTTTTGCCGTTCCAAGTTTCGATGCTGTTGCTTCTATTTGCTTTAATTCTGCTACTCGGCGCTGTGCCGTTTAGACTCGCGTCTTGAGTGTTTTCTACGAAGAAGACGAGGGTCGTTCGGTGAGAAACTTGGAGGGAAAGCACTGAAAAATGGTCGTTTGTATTTCGGTTCAAGCTCATCGAGAATATACTATCATGTATTATTGTGTTCTCCCGATTGATTTTGGTCGGAATGGGGTTGCCTTTGCTAATGAATCCTCATACCGCACCAAGTATGAATTCCCTTGAGCAATCTAAGTTGAACTGCAATTAATGGAATTCGGAGGTTCAGATTACGGTTCAAGAAGTTTCTAAAAGACTAGGCGACCAGATGTTTAAATTATGCATATACACATTTATCGATGGGACAGGATGAGATGGTCTTAAAAATAGAGTTATGCCATTGGACCATACGTTACAAAAATGAACTACTTTTCATGCTCATCCATGAAAGCCCTATCTGCAGGAGGAAACAAATACACTTGCGAACTACATTTTGCAACAAGGAACTACTATTTCTGACACTGTTTAGAAGCAACACATATACGCCTTGAGTTATCCTGTGCAGTTTAGTACTTTTATCGGTGAGTTAGAATAGTAACTCCTAACCGCCAAGGGTTGTTCGTATGATCATGGTAAACATTTTCTTATTACTAGTTTCTGAATTGAGTTCTAATCAAACTTTGATGGATATTTTTGTCGAAAATTACAATTCATGTATCATACATTCAATACGTTTATTTTTTACCTGATAATACTCGTACGAATCCCTCTTGATCGGGTTTCGTAAAATTGGTCCGCATGAGCCCATGGAAGTGTAAAACTGATCAACCAATCAGAGAGCAGCACAGACACAGCAATACTCTCTCCATGTAGGTACTCTCAATGAAATACGTGCTAAGCGTATAGTAACTAAGCGTAGCGGTAATTAGATGTACTTTTGCTAAACGGAACCAGAGACAGGCTGGAAAGAAGGGGTGTGCTCGTTTATAGTTAAGGGCCATAAGAATGAATGGGAATTATGAAGCGCCAGTAGGGGCGTGCCGCAGCGGCAACGTACCAGCTTCCGTTCTCGCTTTTGGTCAGCATTAACCCATGAGCCCTATCCACAACGCTCTTTTCCCATGCCCATGGCTCATGAGTACCGCATTCAATTGGCACATAGTTCCGTTTGACAGAATTTGAAATCCCGCTTTTCAATTTCTGCCAAGGGAATCACTCCCACTGACCACATTGTGTTTTATGCAGCTCTCTAGAGCATATCCCATCTTTCCCACTCGTCCATAGTTCCGTTTGGCAGGAATACGTCCAATTAGCTATTGGATGAAGGAAGTAGATCTTACCTGTTTGAAGGTACGAAGAGTTGAAGAGAATATAGTCCTGAAAGGAGTCAACGCCGCAGCACTGGAATTCAGTCTGCGTGTCATCCCAGAGTTCTCTATAATTCGGATCGCTAGGGTACTGAAAAACGAGCCTATATTTGAGGTCGGGACCAAGCTGCTGCATAATGTCCTTATACCTGTAGACCCAGAATATGCCGAGCATGACATCCCCGAAGAGCAAGAGGAGAAGAAGGAGCCAGTAGATATTCAAGAGCTTCTCGTTGAGCTTAATGGCGCCGACGCAGCCAATGAACTGAAGAAAGCCGGACTGGAACAAAAGCGCCGAGTAGGCGTAGATAAGGCTCGGTTGGGTCAGAGTGAAATTGGGAATGAGCATCCGTTTGGAATCGAAGACTATGATTTTCGATCCGATGATGATGAAGCACACGACGCTGACGAGAAGAACCGCGTTGCATGTGTAGATCCAGAGCCGGTAGTACCGCATAGCCCTGTTCATAGACAGCGCGAGCACGGAGTGAAGCTGGGCGGAGCGAGTCGTAACTGGCGCAGTCGCGGACCAGGCGGAGCGCGCCACCGGCGAAGTCGCGGCGGAGTGGAGCCTAGAGCGCGCCACCGGCGAGGTGTGGAGCTGGGCGGCAGAGCGCGCCTGCCGCTTCCGGGAGACGAAGAGCCGGTTGATCCTGATCAGCTGGTCCTTAATGACGTCACGCTCGAGCTTGTTGAGTTGGCCGGTTCGTGATCGCAGGAGTTGGTGCTGAATCAGCATAATTGTCATGTCTCAACTTCAACTTGGATCGGGGACTCGCTGCTCCGCGCCGGGGTCCGCTCCTACATCCGGCCAATCAGGAGCGAGGCGCCTGCATCACTGGCCAATTGAAAACGGGGATCGCGCTTCCTTCCTTCTTGTCCGTCACGCAACCTACATCCCCGACCAATCGTGAGCGAGGGATTTCATCACTACTTTGTTCCAGCTTCTACATCGAGAGCGTTGTTCGTCGCTAGTCGATAACTCGAATCAGGTTTGGCGCGTGACGTGCAGAAATGTCCTCAGTCGAAACAAACCAAAACCGCAGAATTCTATTGTATTCGGAAAGGCTTTACAGACTTCAACACATTTCGGTTTCGAACAGAAACATATCGAACCATCTCTTCATATTGAATCGTTGCCTGGATGATTATTCGACTTTTTCGTCTTGAAGACTCAACAGAATGATTTCCTCTCAATCACGACGTTTGACGATACATTCCAATCGGATGTAAGCAACAGTTTTTCAAGAAATAGTTTTTATCTCTTTGCAGTGCGATCTATCAGAGGTTGAGTCCCTCCTCTTCATATTTATCAAGGCAGTGGTCCATGGTATATGAATATCACCTCGCAGAGTTGCAGGACATGATTGATTTTTCGGCAGTTAGGGTAATTTTTTTTACCTGGCTGGGGCTCAAGCGGGGTTTTCGTCGTCCTGTTTCCGATGTGAGTTGGTCCGATTCGCTCATCCGTTTCCGGCTCCGGGCCCTCGCTCTAGCGGTGTCCAAGCGAGTCACTCGTCCATGCAGTCGTTCATCTAGTCGATGAATCTCTCTCCGTCGTGTCGATTTTCGCCTCGCTTGCAGTATCTCTCGCTTGTCACAGCTCAATTTCTCATCCACCTGGAACATATAAATGAAAGTTTTGTGATAGTCATCCATGGAAGACCAGTCTCTTCAAAAATATCAATGTGTTGGACGCTCCAGGCACAAAATCGCGCATAGGCAAAAGCAGTTGCCTCTCAAATGTAAAATAAAGTGTAGTGCCGTGCTAAGGAAGAACGCCGTATGAGCATTCGAGAGTTGCCAAATTTTCCTTGATAAAATATGTATTTTTGACAAATTCGTGCATATTTTCCCCTAAAATGTTCAGATATTTGAGATTAAATTGCGTACAAAATTGTCTGAAAATTTCGAAAAAAAATATTCACAATTTTTTCAGTAAATTTGGTTTTTTATTAAAGGAAATTTGGCAACGTCTGAAGGTTCATACGGCGTTTTTTCCTAGCACGGCAGTGTAGGCCCCATGCTGCTGTATCAAAGAAAAGCGATGTATGGATATACCTACGTTTTCAACATTCTTTCAATATAATATTTATTTTCCAGGAAAGTTTTGAATATTCTCCCTTTAATTTTTTCAATAATTCAGGTTAAATTGCGACTAAAATTCTTAGGTAAATTGAGTGACAAATATTCTTTAGTCCCTTTATTATGTCAAGGAAAATTTTACATCGTCCGTAAGTCCATACAGCATTCTTCCTCAGCAGGGTGATTTTTTAAATTGGTTGAAAAAACAGACAAAAAGAAGCTGCAGGAGCTATCTTATTAGTCAAAACGGGTGGTTCTCATCTACTAAGGGGCAGAATAATGGACTAACTGCAGAGTCTCGTGTATTGCCGTTAGTTAGCCTATTACTTTGTCCGTTGCAAGAAAATGCTGCCACCAATTGGGTCGTTCCATTTTCTTTTTGTCCTCTTTGTTTATCGCATGTCTATCAATCTCAATAATTAGCCCTCGGTTCGGCAGTACGGCAAGTAAAAGAAAACAATAATCGATAAGAATAAATAATCTCTTTCCCCCGACTCCTAAGTTCCTCCGTGAAAACGGTTCATTCGATTGATTCCAATCTCATTCAACTACGCTTTTTCGCATGCAAAATGGGGGCGCAAGATAATGTGTGACCCTTATTTTCTTCAACAATCCGCCTGATATCTCCCTTTCTCATCAAGGTTCGTTGAGCACCGCATCCCGTTCGACGCGAGTTCAAGGATCGATGCACGAAAGACCAATCGCCGTTTGAGTTTTGATTAGAGCTGGCTTTGCTCAGTTTTTCCGCTCTTCCAAACTGCCGTGCTGAGTAAAAACGGCGTATGAACATTTAAATGTTGCCAAATTGACTCTCAGAAAAAACTTATTCTTGAGGAAATTTATGAGTTTTTTCCTTGAAATTTTCAGACACTTTAGATCAGATAACCAAAATAATTGCCTGAAAAACCGGAAGAAAAATACTCACGCATTTTCCCGAAAGTTCATGATTTTGCAAAGGAAGTTTTGCAATGTCTGAAGGCTCATACGGCGTTTTTCCTCAGCCAGGCAGAAAATCCCGGAGGCCAAACTCTGACGCGTCTTGATGACCAGTGTTTTCGATTTCTCGTATTGTATTTCATATTATCTTTACCGAAGAGAGTCGGGGAGTTTAGGCACGGTTCGGCAATGTTGCTTGGTATTCGCGCTGAGAAATGTCTGATTTTTATCGGGGATTAATCATTTCTCGGTAGCTGGAGGACGCCGCTTTCCAGCTGTCGTGGACAAAGTTGGCGCCGTTATCTGGATTCTAACTGGAGGGAATTTGTCTCCCCATCACGGTTCCTCCGCGATCGAGGAGGCATTATGGTGTCGACCAGAGTGGTAATGGTATCAGAGCTGCTCGTGTGGGAAAATGAAAAATATTTTCCGATAGGAAATAATCAAACTGTCCTACTAAAGGAAGAAATCAATACCTATGTTTATTCACAAAGGTATATGTAAATCGCATTCGGCAAAAATGAGCCAGCGCGATTGCAGTGTTTTCAAACTTGTGCAATTTCACCTTCTCGTATGAAAATACTTGATGCAGTTCTAAAATGTAGAGGATTATTTTCATTTAAAATAACAAATTTATGGTAGGGTGCAAAAACTATTTGCTATTTTGGGACATTTTTGGGATGGAGACGAAGAAGTAACATTTTTACAACACGGCAATCGCGCTGGTTCTTTTTTGCTAAATGCGATCCATGTAGCTCCTTTAATAATTGGACCTCGGATCTTATCATACCTTCTCACCTTCCGCCTTCATACCTTTCCAGTGGAGAAAGTAGTCATAACTAAAATGTTATAATTAAAATGTTTTAATTGTTCTTAATTAGAATGTAGTCAATAATTAATGTTAAGGCACCTTCAAATGAATGTATTCACCAAGCGACCAAAGAAAATTGGTTTCTCTCGATGTCACTGAGAAGATGCGACCTGCGAGTGGCCAGCGCATTCAGGGACAAGAGACCCTCCACTGGTATCGTTACAGAGGTGGAAGCTAAACTGTTGGCAACTGTTGACCTACCTCTTAGGTGGATGTTTAACAACGTGTTGGGAGTTTCGTTTTGCAAACATACCAAAGTTTGGGGAAATTGTGCGGATCATGACGTTATCCAAAACCTGTCAACCACCTAGTAGGTGAGATGACTGTTGCTCCCTTATAATTGTCCATAAAAAAGTGTTGAATCCCGTAAAAAAAGCTTCCACGCGTCGCTATGAGGCTGAGTGGACGGTTTCTTTTCTCTAAGCGCATTGGATCGATTCCTGGAAACTCGCGCCTGATTTAAACGAGTTTGCAAATTCTCAACCCAAACATTTAGTCAAAGTAACCCATAGATTTGGTCGATATAGCCCAAAGAACAACTTACCTAAAAATATTACATAAATACCGCGTAGTAACGTTTACTGACGTGAATTATTTACAGCCAAAAATGCTCTCTGCAAGTCCTTCACTGCAATAGTTAGCTCTAGCTAATATGAAATGGCATGTATCCATTTGGATTTGCTTAAAAATGTTTACTTTTTTGAATAAAACAAAAAAATATTAACCGCACGTCTAGTTTCCTTTGTATTCTATTTCCCGTAAACACGAAATGTTGGTTACTTTTTTTTAGTGTGCACGAAGTTTTCTCAAATTGTCCAACCCTCCGGTGACAATTTATCCTGGAAACCTCGTAACTTTGCGACGCCTGAGGACAAACGTCGATGATAGCAGCTGCCGATTAAAATGGAAATCGAACGCGTATAATTTATCACGCCTCAGTTCGACACTCGACGCTGACTGGCGACAAATTCGTTGAGTGACGTTATCGTAACCCAATCAAATTACGGCTTGTAGATGATCGGATAAGAGACGTCGAATATTTTGGTTTCTCCTCGAGTTGCTTCCCCTATTCTCCTCTCCGGACCAGTAGTATGCAGCGTGATTCAAAAGTCCCCCACCACCACCACCACCTGGTATCACTCTTGTAACTTTTGCACAAATTGGAATGGAGACTTGAAATTTTGTGAGTGCTCCTTGGTCGAAGAAGACGATTTTGGGAACCCCCATTTTAGGGGGATTACCTCGAAAAGAGGCCTGAAACAAAGGGATATTAGGGGTGGTGTGAGACTTCAATCATCCTGTGGAGTCACCAGGGATGGGTTATGATCAGTGATTCAGTGGCTATACTTTATTTGATGTTTTTGTTGTTTGATGGTTCCAGTGTGAACCGACCTTTCGTCATGCGTACTTATTCTTTTGCAAGGGTGGTCAAACGGGTCCAATTGTTTCTGACTGTTAAAATTTCTCGCGTTTGATGGGTCTTTTATGATTTTATGATCCATTAATGGCAAACTCGTAATGATCTAACGCTGTAAATTCTTGGTTTATATTTCTAGCTTGAAGTTAGGGTTTTTTCACATTATTTGGGGAGACAAAGGCAGGAAAAACTTGGAAAATTGGAACAAGTCAAGGAAAACTTGCGTTCACGGAAATGGGAGGGTTTCAATTATGTGTCGTGGTACATGCTTTCATCTCGACTACAAGCCAGAACGAAAGCAATTTGACATCATATTTCATCATTGCAGATAGTCTTGAAGTTGGGAAATTTTCTCGAAATGGACCACGATATAGGGCACGAAATTAAGTTCCACAATGTCTGTTTCCTTATTGAAGTTTTACGAAGAATATTATGGACGCCTTTAAAATTTCTCCTATACTACTCACTAGTTAGAAGTTGTCGTTCTTAGTCTACCTAAATTCTCACTTTTCGTTCACCAAAAAAAAATTAGAGACTCTCTGAGTCAAATCGAGCATTGGCATAATTTCAGTATTTTTATCATCGCAAAAATTTTTCCGAGTACCTTTTCTTATCTTTTTTTTGACAACATTAAAGGTACCTTGTATTAGAAGAGGAGTAATATGCCTGAAACCAAACCATAGCTACTTTGCTAACGTGAAGGTTCACCCTAATGTTTAATTTTATCTGTGTAGATTACGGTCTCATTCGAGCGGAAAGATTCAATTTTCTGGGTTCAGTGCTAACTATGAAAGTTTATCCCTAACTCGTGCATTAATTTTGGAATTTTTCATACGTTCAAAACGTTCCTCGTAAAATTCAGATGAGAAAACATACTCTGCGGTGCTTTAATTTCTTGCCTTAAATTGTCTATTTGTTCAAGAGATCTTCCTGCAAATGCCGACATGAGGCGTGCTTCGACCGGCGCGGCGCGCGAAACGCCCTCATATTTGCGATGTACAACTGTGGCGTGGCGTGCTTTGCGATGTATCGATTGATCGGCCATTTAAACCTATGGAAAAGTATCGATAAACAGGGTGTTCGCAGCGATCACCTTAATAATCGTTTCTTCACCATAGCTTCAAATACGGAAATATCGATATATATTGAAGCACGACACGCCACTGATACACAACACAGACATCCATCGAGCCCGAATAGTCGCATCGAGGCGTTTTATCCTTTGCCGAGTAGATACGCGTCGTGTCGACTGCATTTTTCAATCACGAACTACAATTTTTTGTTTACCTGTAAAGACACTTCCGTTCATAG